CTCCCTCAATTCTGCTCTGATCTTAATTATTTCTTGTCTTCTGCTAGCTTTTAATTTGTTTGTTCTTGCTCCTCTAGTTCTTTTAATTGTAGCGTTAGAATGTTGATTTTAGATCTTTCCTGCTTTGTCTGTTGGGCATTTAGTGCTATAAATTTCCCTCTACACACTGCTTTAAATGTGTCCCAAAGATTCTGGTACATTGAGTCTTCATTTTCTTGTTATTGTCAATTTGTATCTTCTTTATTTTTTTTTTTTGTGTTTATCAATCTAATTGACTTTTTCAAATAATTAACTTTTTTATTCTTTATTATTTCGTTCTACTTACTTTGGGTTTAATTTCATGTTAATGTTCTAGTTTCCTACAATGCAAGCTTATTTTTCTTTTTAAATTAATGCAATTAATATTATAATTTTTTCTTCTAAGCACTGATTTTACTGCATCTTGTACGTTTTTATATGTTGTGTTTTCATTTTAATTTACAACAAAGTCAACAAAGTATTTTCAAATTACAATTCTTTTTTTTTCTTTGAGACAGAGTCTTGCTCAGTCACCCAGGATGGAGTGCAATTGTGGGATCCTGGCTCACTTCAACCTCCACCTCCTAGGTTCAAGCGATTCTCCTGCCTCAGCCTCCCAGTAGCTGGGATTACAAGTGCCTGCCACCACACCCGGCTAATTTTTTTGAATTTTTAGTAGAGATGGGGTTTTACTATGTTGGCCAGGCTGGTCTTGAACAATTGGTCTCAAAGGATTCACTCACCTTAGCCTCCCAAAGTGCTGGGATTACAGGCATGAGCCACCGTGCCTGGCCAAATTATAATTCTTATAATTTCTTTTTTGGCCCATGAGTTATTTAGAAATATTTGGGAATTTTTAAAGGCATCTTTATCTTTTTGATTTCTGGTAACTCCATTGTGATCTGAAACATGTTTTATATATTCTAAATCCTTTCATGTTTGTTGAGATTTATCTTATGATCCTGAATATCTTGGTGAATGTTTGCACTATAAAAAATATGTATTCTGCTGTTGTTAGATTTAGAGTTCTGTAGGTGTCAGAAGTTTGCTCAAGTTGCTTGAAACTGTTATTCAAGTCACGTATCTTCTTATTGATGTTCTGTTACTTGTTTTAAAAATTACCAGTAGAGGAGTGTTGATATCTTCAACCATAATTAGAGGTTTGTCTATATTCCCTCTTTGTCTTTGCTTCACATAGTTTAAAGCTCTATTATTAAAGACATAAATTTAGAATTGTTATTTTTCCTGATTAAATTATTTTTCTTGATTAATGTGTGATAATCCTCTTTTAATTAATGTGTAATATTCCCCATTTTGAAGTTAACTTTTTCTTATGCTTAGTATAACCACCCCAGTTTTCTTTTGATTGGTATCTGCATAGTTTCTCTTTTTGCCATTTCTTTTTAAATATATGTATGTTTTGGTTATTAAAATGAGTTTCTGTATGTATAATTAGATCTTTTAAAAATCCAATTTGACAATCTCTGCCTTTTAATTAGGCTGTTTATTTATATTTAATGACGTTATTGATGTGATTGAGTTTAGATCTACTATTTTGCTGTTTGTTTTCTATTTGACCCATTTGTTATTTTCATCTTTGTCTGCCTTCCATGGTATGGATTGAGGATTTTTATTATTCTGTTTCATCTGTGTTGTTGGATATTATGCATGTTTTTTTGCTTCTGTTTCATCTGTGTTGTTGGATATTATGCATGTTTTTTTGTTTTACCTTTTATTGCTTACTTTAGGATTCAACTTTTTTTTTTTTTTTTTTTTTTATTTCCATTACTCCCCTTGTACGGGAAGGAAGATAATACTCCCAGCCTTTCCACCTCTCTATTTCACCATCTCTTCCTACTTTTTTTTTTTGAAATGGAGTCTCACTTTTTTACCCAGGCTGGAGTGTAATGGCCCAATCTTGGCTCACTGCAACCTCTACCTCCTGGGTTCAAGTAATTCTCCTACCTCATCCTCCCGAGTAGTTGGAATTAACAGGTGTGCACCACTACACCTGGCTTATTTTTTGTATTAGTAGAGGTGAGGTTTTACCATATTGACCAGGCTGATCTTGAACTCCTGACCTCATGTGATCCACCCGCTTCAGCCTCTCAAAGTACTGGGATTACTGGTGTGAGCCACCACACCTGGCCATATACATAATCATTTAATAAGAAAAATGTTTGAAGGAGGATTTCTTCACTACCTGAATGTGAAATCCTTTATGTGTAATAATTGTTTTCTCAGTGACACCAGAGAACCAAATCGTCATCCAAGCATGTTTCTCTTACTTTTGGTGTTGGAGAGACTCTACCCTTCCCCGATGGATGGCACTTCTTCTGCTCTCAGCATGGGACCTTTTGTTCCCTTCATTATGAGGTAATGTCATGCTGTGTGGAAATGGTGGGGGTGGGTGTGGAAGATTTACGGGAATATTTTATCTTGTTCTTATTTCAGAAACTATTTTTTATATATGTATATATAACATATGTAACTATTTTATATATGTAACTTTTACACACACACACACACACACACACACACACACACACACACATACAACTTTCAGAGGGGTCTTGTGAAGACAGAGGCCTGGGTCTTCTTGCTGTTGTCCCCAGCATTTCAGAGGAAGGTGCTTATATCATGGGTACAGGATCTCATTAGAACCTGTGTAAGTAATGTTTTCCTTGAGTCCTGTCTGCTTCAATGCAGGTGGGTGTATGTTGTTGGTAGCAGATACTCCTTTTGAGAAACATAGCCCCGTGTTTGCATTATTTCTGTGTTGAGCCTGGCCAGCACAGGACAGGCTCGGTTCTGGTATGTATCTTCTGTCCACGGGTTCAAGAGGACATCAGGATGTCTGACTCTTCACTCCAAAGGAGTCTGCCAGGAGGTGCAATGGGTGGCATGTAAATGGCAATGTCGTGTGGCATGAATTCCCACTCACCTTCTCTTTCAAGCTTGTAGTACCTGAAAAAAGTCATGAATGTAGAGTATTGATGGAATAAAAGGATAACAGGCTTCTCTTCTTTTGGAGCCTATTACCACTTGTTGTGTTACATCTTTTCAGGCATTTGCCATCTTCTGATTACTTTATTCATTTTGGATCAAAGGCCTAAATTTGTAGGCCTCCAAAAAGTATTAAAATTTTCTTATGAAACATTTCAGAAGCCTGTTGTATTAGTTAGCTCTTACCTTTCTGCTTACCTCTTGACAAAACAGTACCTTCATTTTTCTCTTCTACCAAAAATTGAAGTGGATTTAGAGCAGATGGATAAGAATCCAAACTCAAGAGAGCGTTTCTTATTTATGTGTTGTCCTGGGTTCCACTTCCTTGTTTTGCAGAGCTGACTTATGCATTTTAATGTGAGAAACCATTAAACATGAGATTCTGGCATGTACTTGCTGGAACTATTTGTTTGCCCAAGCCCTGGCTGTGGCTGTGTTATCTTTGATCACAGAGATGACTCATGCAGACTGGTTTTTGTTTCCTGATATACAAACTTACCAGTCTCCTTCATCAAGCATTTGGTGATTAATTTTAGGAATTTGGGTGGTAAATTTTACTTTCAGGGGCCTTAAAAATTGTTCTTTGATGAATAACTGGAAAGAACTAAGAAATGTTTTCAGAAAGTTGATGCAAGCAGGAAAGGCATGTGCACAGAATTGCCATTTACATTAGAAACAGAGATTTGCTTTAGAACCTGTCATCTGTCTTAAGAACTAACTTCTTCAGTTCAGGTACCTCAAAATTGTGGAATTTGTGGAAGCTTTTTACTACTCAATCTGTTGTTCATTGCATCCTAGTAATAAGAAATTACTACATGGAAAGTACCTTTCCAAAATGTTGCTTCGTTTACATATAATCAGAATTCTGATATTACTCATTATATTCAAAGTATCTATTATATAAAACAAATATTCCACTAATATAGAGGATTTAAAAATTGCTTTGAAGCCACCGTACTCAGGGCATCATTTATTAACCTCTAAAAATACAAAGTAAGAAGTTTGCAATCAGTCTCTTCTTCCAGTGAAAACGCTGCGGTTAGTAGTTGCTTTCTTCCAGTAAGTAAGATGCTCTGTGAAGTAAAAATTCATGTAGAAACCATCAATAGCAGAGTGCCACAATGATCCCTTAAGTACAGAATCAGTAGGCTCTGACTTATTGAGTGTCCATCTGTGTTGTAGAACAGTGTTCTTAAACCTCAAGATGTAAACATATCACTTGGTGATCATATAAATTCTGATTCATTAGACCTGGGGTGAGTCCTGAGAGCCTGACTTTCAGATGGTCTTCCAGGTAATGCCAGTGCTGCTGGTCTGTAGATCACAAACTTAGAATATGAAATTTAATGCCATCACACACACACACAGACAGACACACACACACACACACACACACACACACACACACACACAAATTTTAATAAGCTAGACAGTAGTAGGGTCATACTATATTTGGTTAGACAATTTAAAGAGTTTATTAAGAAGTAGATTTTGACCCAGGAATGCAGAAAACGAGAAAGAAAGTGTTCTGAGCAGAGAAGTCAGTAGGAAGTAGATCAATCTTTGTTGAGCCCTTTTTGCCAGGCAGTGAACTGGGCATTTTGCTTACAGTGACTCTTTGAGAAGAGGTGTTATCATCCTCATTTGCCCGTTCAGGAAATTGAGGTTCAGACAGTGAGGCAGTTGCAGAGCTAGAATTTGAACACAAGAGTGCAGGGCTTGTCAAGAGTGTTAGATGTACTCTTTCTGTTATACCAAAATAACCGTTTATTTTGGTTGCCTTTTGAGTAGCCAGTAACTTAGCTACACTGAATGGGCCTATAGGGTCTGAAATTTACGAAACTGAGAGAGATGAAGAGCCTATATCCACAGTTGGTGCATCTGAGGAAAAGGCTGTCTTCTGGATATAGAAGTAATTGTCTCTATCAATGATGGGATCTGTTCCTTATTTTGCTTTTCTGTAGGAAAAGTAGCTCATTGGAATGGTCAACCATGTGTGACTCATGGTGACAATTGCCTAGGGTTATAGGATTGATTTGTGGCCAGATACAGACGAACCCTGGCTCTATTTTCTTGACCACCTTCTGTGGTAAAGTGGAAGGCCCTCAATTTAGTTAGTTTGGGGTTTCACCAACCAACCACAGGGACAACCAACCCATGCTACCCCAAAATGTTCACTGGGGAGGTAAACTATAAACAGATTTTTTAAGAATAGCGAATGTGATAAAACTGTATGCATTTGATTTACATGACCTCTGAGAAAATTATTCATGAAGAACGTGAAAGGTTGATCATAAAACCTATCATTCCAGGGCTTGTGGTTCTGATAGTGATAAAGAGTGGGCTGTTTTGACTTGGGATAATAGCTAAAAAGATGGATGTATGTTTGCACAGTGGATCGGCAGTGTTTGATTTTTGCTCCATTTTTAAGGGCAATTTATATACTTGGAAGAGTTCTAATCAGGCTCATAGATACTATGAATTTGGCTAAAGAAAAAAATTTCAGTTTGTGGGAGTAGTGCAAAAGTGGCTCTGACTGTTAAGAGTGAATTGCATAATGAGAAGAAGATGAAAAGAGCCAGTGACAGCTTTTTGTTTGCCTTTGATTTATGTCTACTTACCTGCTATTTCCTTCCTCTCTGTAAGGTATTTGTAAGTATTATTTGTAGTTTTAGTTGTTTATCCCGTGTTCAAGAGTATATCTAAGCTTATTTCTCTGTTGATTTTCTTCATTGATTTAAGTCTTAGAAGTCACTGGTTTGGATTTTCCAAAATTATGCATATATACCATTACGATTGTTGCATCCTCTTGGGACAGAAATGATAATGTCAATCCCAGCATGTTGTATACAACTTTTTAAAATCCAGTGTATTTTATGTTCTGATGTTGTGCGGGATCCAGATACACAGCCCTTTACCATGTGAGTGTGACGCCTTCAATTTTAGACTATTAATTCATTCTTCTGTTCAGGTACCTCAACGCAGAGTGATTCATGCTTTAAAAAGAATCTTGAGTGACTCTCTGAATATAACTCACCAGGGCCTGCTTCTCTGGGCTTTCTAGAGACTAGAAAGTCTTTTCAGATGCCAAAAAGTCTCTGGGCATATATCTCTAAGTTCTCTTTCACAAGCAAGTTTCAAGTTCCAATCAAAGAGCTCTAACCATATAAGCCCCAAACCTTGGACCATAGAGTCCTGAGCAAAGGCCCAGGACTCAGAGACCTGATTCTGTCTAAGCTCTGTTGCCGAATCACTAACTGTGACACTTAGACAAGGCTTTTTGCCCCCTCTACACCAGTGTGGTTACTTGTATGTATGCAAGTTTCAGTTAAGACAGAAAGTACCTTCTACTGCAGATAACTGAGATCTGGTTAATACCTGCAGGAGAAATCCCTTCACTGTCCTTTTGAAGCACTTTTTAAAGGTTCTCTCCTACCCGCAGCCCCCTTCCGCCCCCCCCACCACCTTTTTTTTGTTGTTGTTGTTTATTTTCACTGCATATGACTTTCAGTACATTTATTTCCCCAATCCATTTAGTCATTGTTCTCTTTAGACAAGTTTTCAGTGAAATATCCTCTCCTTTCCTTTTCCCTCCTCCTTTCCTTCCTTGCTTTTTTAAAGAGATGGGGTCCCACTATGTTGCCCAGTTGGACCTGAAATTCCTGACCTCCAGTGATCCCCTGCTTTAGCCTCCCAAGTAGCTGGGACTGCAGGTGCACACTTGTGCCTGGGTTGCTTTTCTTTTCTCTGACTTTTTTTTTTTTTTTTTTTAAGATGGAGCCTTACTCCGTTGCCCAGGCTGGAGTGGATCATCTCAGCTCACTGCAACCTCCGTCTCCCAGGTTCAAGTGATTCCCATGCCTCAGCCTCCTGAATAGCTGGGACCACAGGTGTACGCCACTGTGCCCAGTTAATGGCAGAAACCACAATTACTTTTGCACCAACCTAAATAATTTTTGTATTTTTAGTAGAGACAGGTTTTACCATATTGACCTGGCTAGCTTGGAACTCCTGGCCTTGAGCGATCTGTCCACCTCAGCCTCCCAAAGTGCTAGACTTAGTAGCAGGTATTAGCCACCATGCCCAGCACTTTGCCAGATATTGAAATACAAATAGCAATACAATCTTAACTAAACATGTGGCAGTAGAAATCATTCAGAAGAACCTATGCAATGGAAAGTTTTTTAGTTGAAATATGGAACTCTAGCCAGTAATCACAGCATTAGAAAATACATGTTTTGTGTATTTTTAAAATATTTCATGGAATCTTTTGATTTTACCAGTCTTAAAGAGGGAGTTAGGGTACAAAAGCTTAAGAATTTGGTGGTCCTTTTAAGCCTATGATATTGGGAAATGACATTGACTCCTTT